CCCCAAAACCCCAAAACCCCAAAACCCCAAAACCCCAAAACCCCAAAACCCCAGATTTAAACAATTTATTGATTGCGCGGTACTTTCACATTTTAAATGGAACAAACTCCTCATGACTTATCAGCATTAGTTACCCAAATTAGATATATGGGTAAACTCATGAAGTATTACGGCTACTTAGACGAGTGAGCTCAACTCCTTAGAATCTTGTGTAGAGCATCAAGAGAGCAGTGGAACAACAACCAGAAAATAATCATTAATATATTTATGCAGGGTGAAAAATACAAAACTATTTTGGATCTGAGTTATATTAAAGATAATACAAAGCTCAAAGAAGTTTTTACCTATTTGACACTTGGAGATAAATTCAACTATTATTCACTCAGGTGCAGATTTAATACTAAGACTCATTATCAAATCGCCAAGAAATTTGTTGAGCAAGTCAGACAAAGGAACCATGAACTTGGCATCAAAAACTTAAAAATATTCAGACTCTTATATCTAAATTGACACCGTGATATTATCGGAACACTCAGCTTTATCAAAAGCTACGAAGAAGCTGGCTTTAAAGTGTATAAACTAATTTTTGAAAATACTAGCAGAATGGAAAAAATTTTAATGGCGAAATAAACCAACGGATCTGCCCACTCCATATATTAATAAATTTAACTTTGAGAATCCAAGTCTAATAAACATCTTCCAAAGAGCACATTGATTTCATTTCCAAGGGTTCATTAAGTTGAGCAAGGACAAATTTCCTAACAATTTCCTAAAACTACAATGCCGTTATTTTTTGCTATTATAAAATATAAATCCATTATCCAACTAACAAAGCTGAGGCTCAGATTTCATCATGGACAGACTAAGTAAAGCCAAACGAATAGTTTACATGAAATTAGATTGCAAGGAGGAATAGAGTTCATCAAAAAGTTAGAAAATGCTTTCATCAACATAAACAAAATATTCATACCGAACCTCTTATTTTAAATAATTTATATACATTTTGTACTAATAATAGATGACTTATTGGAGGTACTTCTGGGAGATGCTTCTCAAAGCACCAAATGTGAAGCCCTAGAGTTCTTAGGAGACACAGCACTATATCGATTTGGGCAGCAAGATATCTGCTTCGAGATTCTCAATAAAGTGCTGCATTACTACCCGAATATTTCTAGAATAGAATTTGGATTCACTAGGACTCTGAAAATAGTAGATGTATTGGAATCAATTACTAACAAATGAAGAAGTAGAAAGTACTTTAATCTTCGTCGAATAACTTCCCTCAAATTTGGTTGAAACGTTGACGGAGAAGAAAGACTCCTGGAATTCAAGAAGACAAATGTTACATTTGCTATAAAAATCTCAGACAACCACAAAGGAGCTGAGAATTTCAGAGTATTTAAAGCAAAGCAGTTATGGTATACAGGAGGTCTTAGCTGCTCTTTTCGTAAGGTAGGCACTATCCTTCTTATCGGAGAAATGACAAAATAAGGAATGGTACCACACAAACAACTTGGAATTAAAATAAGTTACACAAGAGGATTCTTGAAGTTCAGAACATTCCAGTGCAATTAACAAGATTCTTGGAATAGAACCAACTCATATTGGAGAAATCTTTGTCTTTAATGTGAAAGAGAAAATTATTAATTCTGAAAATCCAAGATATGTCAGAATCAAAAGTACTATAAGCGATACAAGTCCTTCTTACTCTGTGACAGCTGCTTGTCGTTTTGGCAACTCAAAACAGCAAAATTAAATTTTATGTCCGTCGAATATGCAGAAACTTTTCTGAGGAGATTTAGAAAGAATAATAACCATTCTGAAAGAAGTGCAAGGAGAGCTGACTTCAGTACATTTTATAAACTTCAAGTTTCCCAGAGTTTTTGAGGAATACTTCTGGCTGCCTTATATTCCTTTAAAATGACAATGTGGAAACCAGAATGCTCACAATGAAGTGTATCAGGAGCTTGTAAAGATAATCAACAAGTGTAAAATCTTTGAGTTTAGGTAACACAGAGAATTCATTACTAGTGATAATTGTTTTGAACTGTTCATAAGCTTCTTACAGAACAATAAGTATTTAAGATATCTTGAATTGAAGTTTGGAGAACAAAAGAAGATTTCACAAGTTTTTAAAGCACTAGATTCGAATTATATCATAAAGACTTGCATCTTTAGATGCAATGAAATCTCTGAAGAGGATGTTCAGACAGCCAAACAGTTCCAAAGGAAAAGAATTGGAGTTGATATAAAACTTCTCCAAGCAGGTAAAATTATATATCCAAAGAATCCTGCTCCTTTCACCAAATCTTACCCAAAAATGGTCTAAATTCCATTTTTATAGACAATTAAAGCAAAAGCGCCTATTTATCCAAAGTAAAGTTACTCTTAATAAAATCTTCAGTCTCTTTCAAGACCCACTTATCACAAGAAAACTAATCTTTTTTGCATGCTCCAGATCTTAAATCTATCAATAAATTGTTATTTATCTACAAAAACATGATACTTTTGTATCTATTAATCACCTTAACAAACAACACATTATCCGTACCCTAAGATTCTCCTAGAATTACTCAAACTGAATTCTTGTAATTTCCAAGAAATCTTTAGACTTAAATAATAGAGCACCAAATCATAAAAACGGCAAAACCCAAGACCACTAATTTTATTGTATGATTACCAAATATACCAACCGCCACTTAAATTAGCACATATTTTCTTGGTAAAATAAGAGCCTGGTTGAGGATTAAAGAACCTTAGATGTTTAGGGAATATTAAAGGTTGACTTTATCCTGAAATTCTAATAAAAATTAAAGGTTTGGAGTATTAGAAAAGTTTCAATGAGCATTTAAGAGTTAGGGGTTTTGGGGTTTTGGGGTTTTGGGG